GTAGGGAAATCATTAAATGGATATTACTATAGTCAACTAGTAAAATACATAGTATGTTTAAAGGTGACAGGTCTAATAGGGAAAAAGGAAATAAGACAGGCTAAGAGGTGTTAAGAGTTCTAATGAGCAAGAAGTGGGCTATAATTTTACATAAGGTGGTCAAGGATAGGACTTACTGAGGTCACATTTGAGCAAACTTGGAGAAAATGTGAGAGGTACACTTGTCAAGAGTTCAGCTGAGTTGGAGCTGAGATGCCAGGTACAGGAATAGCTGATAAAGACAACAAGCTAAAATGAAAGTGACACTCAGGACTTTAATTACTTACTGCAATAGTATAAGTAAGAGGCTAAACTGAAGAAAGCACCACCTCGCCTTGTACCATTTTTCCTATGGAACAACGTTAGTTAGGGGTGAGGTGGATCAGTGAGGATAGTGTCATTGTCAGGGGAGCCCTGAACAAATAGCTCTTACTGTTTTATTGATCTGGGGGTAGCAGAAAACAAAGGGGAAGGGCTAGGAATGGAAAAGTACTGAGCACCAACTCAGAGTAGAGAAAAAGTATCCTGAAGTTCCACCTCTCTCCTTGATAAAGAGGTGTTGCAGAGGTTCCTGAGGAAGGCCTCTGCCAAAGGCCCTGGTAAAGAGGCCTCTGGACAAAGATGCCTGTAGTAGGAATGCAGATATTTGTAAGGACATGGCTAGAAGTGGGGGCTGAGTTCTTGAGAATGCAGTGCACTGGCTGTGCACCTAGTCTGGTATGGGGAGGGCAGCTTTGCCTTGTGACACCTGTCAGATAAAGGTAAAGCCTTTGTAATTACCAGTGGTCTGACCTGAAAAATTGCACATAGGTTTTTAGTCAGGAGCTGGACCCCTCAGCAGTGTGGATATCTGGGGAAAGAGCATTAAAGACAAAGGATCAGCCAGGGTAGGTGCCCTAAAATGGGAGAATATTTGGCATGGTTGAGGGATAGCAAAAGGGGCCGATATTATTGGAGAGGGAAAAGTATTTAGAAGAGAACAAGACATAACAGTGATAAAGAGTAATCATGCAGAACTTTGTGACACAAAACTTTGTGAATTACAAGGATTTTAACTTTTGCTCTGAGTGAAATGGAGAGAGCTATTGGAGGGCTCTGAACAGTGATTAAACACAGTATGCTCTCAAATATTTGTTGAATGAATATAGATTTTCTTTGGCAAATGTTTCATATGTGCTCATTAAGTCTGTGTATTCTTGGTTTGTTGGATGTAGAGCTCTCTATATATCTAGATGCCAAGATTATAACTGCAGCTTTGTTTTACTCTATATATTTTCTAGGTATATCTTTTTCCATACTTTTATTTACAGTAGTTCTATGTCTTGCCTTATATGTCAGTTGCAGATAAGATTATTGGGTCTTCTCTTTTTAAAAACCTAATCTGGGGCTTCCCTGGTGGCGCAGTGCTTGAGAGTCCGCCTGCCGATGCAGGAGACGCGGGTTCGTGCCCCGTTTCGGGAAGATCCCACATGCCGCGGAGCGGCTGGGCCCGTGAGCCATGGCCACTGAGCCTGCGCGTCCGGAGCCTGTGCTCCGCAAATGGGAGAGGCCACAACAGTGAGAGGCCCGCATAACGCAAGGAAAAAAAAAAAAAAAAAAACCTAATCTGTAGCTTCTGTCTTCCAACAGTTAGTTTATATTTACAGTAATTACAATTACAAATGCACAACTTATTTTTTATTTTACTTTTTGTTGTCAACTTCAGCTTTTCTCTTTTCTGTTTTTTTTTTTTTTTTAAACATTTATTTATTTATTTTGGCTGCGCCGGGTCTTAGTTGCGGCATGTGGGATCTTTGTTGCAGCATGTGGTCTTATAGTTGTGGGATGCAGACTTCTTAGTTGAGGCATGCATGTGGGGTCTAGTTCCCCAACTAGGGATCAAACCCAGGCCCCCTGCATTGGGAGCCCAGAGTCTTACCCACTGGACCACCAGGGAAGTCCCTCAGCTTTTCTTAAGATAAATTTCTTTTGCTAATTTAAAATCTTCACATTTTAATTTTGGCTTACAGTAGTCAACCTTAACTTAAAATGCATATTTATGATTATTAGCTGTGTTGATTTGTAAGGAAGGCTTACAAGTCAGCAAGGCTTGGGGGTTTTCAAAGAGCACATCATTTTTAGTCTTCTCAGTTCCTCCTGGGAAATATGCTTGGATTAGTATTGCCACTGTTTTGACTCCCAGATAAGTTTCCACTGGGTTGCAAGAAGCCTCAAGTGGGAATTTTCTCAGCCTTTTATAGCCTTAACCATGTCCCATGTCTGGTTCCATTAATTACTTTTTATGGTTGAATAAAACTGACTTTATCAAGCTAAGGCACTTGACTCTAACATCTAGCTTCTTCTACATTGCCCTCAGGTCACATGGTGGTGATCATGATGAGCACGTGAGCAGTCTCAGTGAATTATGTGAAGTTACCAGCCTGGTCAGAGTCGGATCACACTAAGACCTGATTTACATAATAGTTTACAGACAAGGCTGGCTCTCCATTCCTGTTCTTTTAGCTCTTTTCTTTGTTTCCAGCTCCTGTTGTCTGGTCTTCTTTCTGGGTGCCTTGACTGTCTCCTATTCTGTTAGTTTGGTTTCCAGATCACTGATGCCCGGGTTGTTTCTTAAGATTTTGAGCCTGTTTTCTACTCTGAACTTTAGACTTTAGATACTTCTCTTGGTTTTTGCTTTTGTTTTTGCTTTTTTAATCCTTATTTGAATTCCAGGACTCTGGATTTAATATATGTCCTGACTTGACATTTGTGTGTACTTTGACTACTGCTTAATTACTAAGTGATGCCCACAACCCAATTGTAACTTTTAGTAACTGAACATTCCCCTGTTTTAAACTGATCACTTGGCTCAGTTTACTTACTTTTTTTCAATCCATCTCTAGATCTGGACCACACTAACGCCTCTTCACAGCACTCTATCAATAGCTCTTCAACTTACTACCCATTACTACTTGTGTTCAAAGTGCCCCCAAGTGGCACCCCATCTTGGAAGTCAGCAGTTTATAGCTAAGCAGTCCAGTAACCAGAGCAGTGTTGAAAGAGGTTTAAGACTATTTTAAGTCTACTCTGATGGGTTTATTAAAACGATAAAGGTCTTTATGGTGAAATCAGTTTTACTTAAATAAATATATGTAATATATGTTTTAGTGTATCCCCTTTTGGCCTGAGGATGCTTCTAATAAACTTCTTATTCAAGTTGAAAGAAGTGAAGGCTCTCCGAAAAAGATACATTTTAACAAGCAAGAAAGTTGTATTTTATTGCATCTGGATAATGAGGTAAGTGATTCTTTTGTGTGTGTGGTTAGAGAAGCTAATATATACTTACTAATTTTTTTTTATTAAATGATTTTTGTTTGTTTCACCAAAAATGAACAAACATTTCTCTTTGCAAAGGGAAAAAGTTCTAAAAGGAAGCAAGAGACATAAAACAATTTAACTGTTATATGGAAAGTTAGAGCAGGGATCCCCAACCCAGGGGCCGTGGACTGGTACTGGTCCTTGGCATGTTAGGAACCGGGCCGCACAGCAGGAGGTGAGTGGCAGGCGAGCGAGCAAAGCTTCATGTGCCGCTCCCCATGGCTCACATTACTGACTGAACCATCACTCACATTACTACTGTCTGAACATTCCCCACTCCCCGCCGCCGTTGGGGACTGCTGAGTTAAAGTGCCTAGAATACTACAATATACCACATCTTGAATTTGACCCATCAGTATATGATAGAGTCATGGTTTTCCAGAAATGCAGTATAAAATCTTGAATTACTTTCTAAATCATCAAAAAATATATTAAGTTATGAATAGTTTTTATTATTAAATGTTATTGGTTAATATTCTTTGGGAAATGATCACATTAGAGAATATTTTCTTTTCCTTTTTTCTAGCTTGGAGGTATTATAGCAGAAGTTAATTTGGCTGAGCATTCTACAGTTATTACATTTTCAGATTATCGTGATGGAGCAGCTCCATTCCTGTTAATAAATCACACCAAGAATGACATTGTTCAATATAAGCAAAGGTAAGAAGATTATTACAAATACAGTATCCCCTGATTTTAGCAGAGTCTAGCTGATGAGACATTGACTTTATGATAATTTCCTACGAGTATAAACACCGTTAATGGCATTATGGCCATGTAAAACAATGTCCTCATTAAAAAAAAAAGTATACTGAAGTATGTAGGGTTAAAACTGACTTGAGATCTATAATTTACTTTTTAAAAAATTCCAACATAATTGACATATAACATATGAGTTTCAGGTGTCCAACATAATGATTCAATATTTGTATATATTGTAAAATCATCACCACTATAAGTCTAGTTAATATCCATCACCAAACACAGTTAAGATTTTTTTTTCTTGTGATGAGAACTTTTAAGATTTACTCTCTTAGCAACTTTCACACATACAATAGAGTATTATTAACTATAGTCACCATGCTGTACCTCGCATCCCCATGATTTATACATTTTATAACTGGAAGTTTGTGCCTTTTGACCACCTTCACTCATTTCATCCACCCCAACCCTGCCTCTAGCAACTGCCAATTTGTTCTCTGTATCTGTGTGTTTGGTTTTTTTGGTTGTTTTCTTTTTTCTTTTTTTGTTTTTTTTTAGATTCCACATATAAGTGAGATGATACAGTATCTGTCTTTCTCTAACTTGTTTCACTTAGCATAATGCCATTAAGGTCCATCCATGTTGTCTCAAATGGCAAGATTTCTTTATGGCTGAATAATATTTCATTTTGTATATACCACATTTTCTATATTCATTCATTCATCAATGGACAGTTAGGTTGTTTCCATGTCTTGGTGATTATAAATAATGCTGCAGTGAACATGCATATAATTTTTGAATTAGTGTTTTCATTTCCTTTGAACAGATAATCCAGCTGCTGGATCACATATTCTGTTTTCAGTTTTTTGAGAAACCTCCATACTATTTTCCATAGTGCCTGCACCAGTTTACATTCCCACCAACAATACACAAGGGTTCCCTTTTTCTCAACATCCTTGCCAACACTTATTTCTTATCTTTTTGATAATAAGCATTCTAACAGGTGTGAGGTGATGTCTTATTGTGGTTTTGATTTCCCTGATGATTAGTGATATAATTTACTTTTAAATGCTTCAAAAACAAAAACCAAAAGAACTGAAGCAAGTATGACAAAATCTTGGTCATTGTGGAATCACGTGAGGAAATTATCAGGGTTTATCATAAGAATTTTGTCTATTTTTGAAATTTTTTTTAATAAACATAATGTAAATATTGATTCTTCAGATTTTTTTCAAACAGTAGATACCTTTTTCTTGCTGAGGCATGTAGGAAAGGAGCGCTACATTTTTAAGCTTTTCTAAAGACCATATTTATGTCTTGATATTTCAAAACTACTCATTGTATCATTTATTTCAATATACTGAACCTTATCCTCTTAGTAACCTTATCCTCTTAGTACCACTACAATTTATGTAACCTTCTGTTCCTCTACTTATGGGTCCCAGGTTGTCTTGAATTTATTTTGTCTACTTTTCTTAGTTTGTTTTCATGTCACTTATCAGTGGGCTCATATTTATCAGTGCATTTATGCTTTTTTTCCACTGCTAACTGTACACTTCGAATCATTGACTAAAATAGGCATTGATTGAGTGAGAACCCGAAGCTTGAGCTAGCAAATAGCTAGAACTCCTCCTTGCCTATCAGTTCTCTCATTTGAGGAAGATGTTGAGAGAGAGTAGAGCCTGTTTTCTATGATTATCCATATTATAAAAATAATAAGTTGGTTGATTAAAACTGACAAAGGCAAACAAATGGTTTTTTCTTATTTGTCCTTCAATTCATGTACCTCAACTAGCCTTTCCCAAAGAAACTGTCACAGAATTAAGACCTCCAGAAAATGATTTGGGTGACTATTTTCTCGATTCTGTCAAGGATAGTACATAACTGGTAACATTCTAAGATACACAGGAGCTAAGTTAATTCTTTACATACTGTGGATGATGTAGGGCATTGTAGCTTAATTCTCTGACATCTGGTTGAGCCTGGCTGAGGCTGAACTAGAGACTTCTCAGTCTTTTCTTTGGCTTTGACTTTGCACTGTTCTTTATAGTACAGTTCAGATATAAAGTGTCTAGAAATTTTATCTACTGCATTGTTACAGTTGTAAAAGTAAGGGATAAGGGAGAAACTAGAATGTGGTCCTGTGTAGAAATTGTGAAACTTAAAAATTACAGTCTTAATGGAAATTTATAAAATTAATACATAGATTAAAGTGTCACATCGTGTTGTTATTTTCTTGTGAGGTTAAGACTTGTACACAAATATAGTTAACATTCTGAGGAGTCTGGTTACTTTTTATTTTCTTTGAATTTCCTGAGATAAATTTTTTTTTTTTTTTCTTTTTGTGGTACGCGGACCTCACTGTTCTGGCCTCTCCCATTGCGGAGCACGGGCTCCGGATGTGCAGGCTCAGCGGCCATGGCTCACGGGCCCAGCCGCTCCGCGGCATGTGGGATCTTCCCAGACCGGGGCAAGAAACCATGTCCCCCGCATCGGCAGGCGGACTTTCAACCACTGCGCCACCAGGGAAGCCCTCCTGAGATAAATTTGAGATGAATTTTTTCATGAGGAATATTCTGCAGTGAATTAAATAGATTAAAATTTATATGAATTAAAGCATTTCTAAATATTTTTAAACCAAATTCATCTGATCAACATGGTTACATTTGATATTTTTTCATAGAAAAATAAGGAATATAGGGCTTTTGTTTCCTCTGCCTTCCCTACCCTTGGCTTTTTTCTTGTTGTTAATATGGTTTTTAATTGTTTCCTACATATAAAAATAACAACTGTCCATTATTTTTTAAAGTTCTGTAGGAAAACTGTGAAAAGAAAAACATAATCCCTGGAATCCCAACACTGTCAGCATTTTGATTCAGTTATTTTTTTACTATTGCTCTCTATCTGTTTATATTTCTGAATCTCTTGTTTTTAACAGCTATTGTGAGCATGTAAATTTGCTTCAAAAACACAATTTTCAATGAATGCATGATATTCCATCATTTAGATGCCCTATAATCAAATGTTCTTCTATTGTTGAGAATTTATTTCCAGTTTTATAATGTTAGAACCTGTTTGTCTTTTAATAAAAATGTTGAACCAAAAAAAAAAAGTTGCACCCATTTGTAATCCTTATAACAACTAATTTATAATTCCTTGCCATACTTTTTGGTAATATGGATTATTTTCTTCTAAGGATGATTTGGAAAATATACATTTTGTTTCTCTTGTAGATAATTACTTTTTGTGTTCTTGGAGATTTTGATGCATATTTTACTTTATTTTATTTTATTTTATTTTTTTATTTTTTTATTTTACTGCATCAGGTCTTAGTTGCAGCACACAGGCTCTTCGTCGCGGCGCGTGGGCTTTTCTCTAGTAGTGTCACACCGGCTCCAGAGTACACAGGCTCAATAGTTGTGGCACACAGGCTCTGTAGTTGTGATGCACAGGCTCTAGAGTGCGTGGGCTCAGTAGTTGCAGCGTGCGGGCTTAGATGCCCTGCAGCATGTGGGATCCTAGTTGCCCGACCAGGGATCGAACCCATGTCCCCTGCAGTGGAAGGCAGATTCTTAACCACTGGACCACCAGGGGAGTCCCGATTTTGATGCATTTTAAATTTTGAGAGTGAAACAGTTATCTGCTAATTCATCCATGAAAAATTTGGAGTAGTTTACATTTTCTTTAATTTCTCTTTCCAAATTCTCAGTTTCTTATCAATATAATTTGGGATTTTTGACCCAGATTATTATAAAATGGTTAGTTTTTCAAAAATATGTTCTTGAAGGTATTTGCGTTGATTCATAGCATATTAACAACAAGTTAATTTATTTGACTGGTTTAGTTGTTTAATATTTCTACATCCTAGTTCTTAAAATTTTATTTTTAGTCATCTCTGGCTTGGTTGGAAAAAGTAAGGGTTTGTGGATAATATGTTATGCTATTGCTTATTTGAAAATGTCTTTCTCTTGCAAATTAACAATTTGACAGAAAATTTTAAGTCATAACTTCTTGCCTCAAAATTGTGTAGCCATTGCTCCATTGTTTTCTGGCATTCAGTATTACAGAAAAGTGTAAGAACCGTCTTATTTCTTCATGGGTAACTGTGATTGTCCTAGATGTTTATAGGCAGGTTTTCCTGTATTGTCTTAAAATTTGAACATTTTACAAAGCTCTGTCTAGGATGATATTCTGTTTCCATTAATTTAGTCTGATACCCAATGAAGTCTAATCTGCAGAGTCAGCTTCTTCAGCTCAGAAAAGTTATATTTTATTATTTCTTTGGTTTGTAGCTTCTCCATTTTCTTTTGGGGAATCGTTTTATGAGTTGACTGAGTTTCTTAGATTTGTATCCCATGTCTTATGGTTTTTAGAAATAATTGAGCTGTATTGTCTTTGCCACAGTAAAAACAATACTTTGGAAAGGGTTACCAATTAAATTCTCTTAGATTTGGTATAGATAAGATAAAGTAAGTGGAATAATTTTCTTTTATAATTAATTTGTGTTAAAACAAAAGTTGGCAAAGTAGTTTCAGAAACCTGGAGATATTTATTTCCTAACTAGGACAAATATTTCCCTTGAAATATTCTCATTATTTTCTCAGAAAACCGCTTTTTTATTGTATAAGGAAAATTTTCAGTCTACTCTTTGTCAGAACTATCACAAATCTCAATTAATGGACTCAGAATTAATGAAGTATTATTTTGGATTCTTTAAATAATCGTATACTTGCACTTACTTTAATGCATATTTTTTACTGTTTATGTCAGTTCCCTCTGTGAAATAGAAGATTCCCTCCCTCCTGGAAAAGCAATTTTTTATACGTGGGCTGATCCAGTGGGCTCTAGAAAGCTGAAGTGGAGATGTGGAGAAAGCCACGGTGAAGTAACACAAAAGGATGTATGTACTGGATTGATTATTATGGTGTTCTCAGAATTCTTTTATTTATTTATTTTTTAAGTTACTCTCTTTCAGCCTTACTAGTTTTGAGGCCTCTTTTGTGTTTCCACTTCTTAAAAACTGCAAAAGATTTTTAAAACAGTATTCAAACTTTAACTTAACCAGAAATGTTTAAAACTGGAAACAGTCTTATTTTGTCTGCCTTTTTATTTGCTTCTATTATGTTATAAAGGGTAAACAGGTATTTTCAGCATTCAATTTATAAACCAATATAAATACATTCTTTGCATTGAAAGTCATCCCAAGTCAATTTAGCTTATGTGAAGGACATTTAGGGATCTATTAATGAAAGAATTTATCTCTGGATGGCAAACTGTTATTTTTTATAATAATAAAGTTAGGTATAAGCATTCTGCAGTAACATATTAAATGACTTTCAGGAATTGTTTTATTAAAGTTTTATTGGTCTTTCAAAATTTATCTTAATTTGTTCCCTATTCCAGTGTCTTTTTTCTTGCCACTAGTTATTATTTCTCTTATTAAATGAGTAAATGAATGAGTATTGAACTTTTATTAATTTTTATGACTTTTTGTAATCTTTTGAGATGATTATATGTTATCTGGGCTTTGTCTTATTTGGTTGGTTTTTTAATATTAGACCAACCTTGTATTTTTGGAATTGACTTGCTAATGCTTTGTTTAAGACTTTTGCTTGTATTCATGAGAGAAGTTGGCCTGTAACTTTCCTGCCTTGTAATGTCCTAACCAGATTTTGATGTTAAGGTCATTCTAATACATGCTGGGAAATATCTACGATTTTCCTATTTTCTGGAAGAGCTTATGTAAGATTGGTATGATTTCTAGAATGTTTGGAATATTTGCTAGAGTTCACCAGTGAAGCCAAGCCATCTTAACCTGCAGTAGTCTTTGTAGGAAGGTTTTAAATTATGAATGCTATTTTATTATTAAATATAGGGCAATTCAGCTTTCTATTTCTACTTGTGTCATTTTGGTAAGAGGTTTTCTAAGAATGCTTTTATTTCATCTCTGTTTTCTAATATATTGATATAAATGTTTTCATAATATACACCTTTTTATCTTTTGTTTGTTTTTGTTTTTGCGGTACGCGGGCCTCTCACTGCTGTGGCCTCTCCCCTTGCGGAGCACAAGCTCCGGACGCGCAGGCCCAGCAGCCATGGCTCACGGGCCCAGCCGCTCCGCGGCATGTGGGATCCTCCCGGACCGGGGCACGAACCCGCGTCCCCTGCATCGGCAGGCGGGCTCCCAACCACTGCGCCACCAGGGAAGCCCACACCTTTTTATCTTTTAATATTTAGGGGGATGATTCTCTTTTTCATTCCTAGCATAGACTATTTGTACCTTCATTCCTTTTTTTCTGATAAGTTTTGCTGAGATTTTATTAGTTTAATTAGTTTCAGTTTAGTTTTGTCTGTCAGAAAACCATCAATTTGCTCTTTTGATGATCTCTTTTATACATTTGTTATCATTTTCACCTATTTCTGCTCTAACCTATATTCTTTCGCCTTTCTTCTGTTTTAATTTGATAAGTTTCTTCTAAACTCTTGAAATAGATATTGTATTAGTCTGCTCAGGGTGCCATAACAAAATACCTTAGACTGGATGGCTTAAACAATGGAAATTTATTTCTAATGGTTCTGGAGGCTAGAAGCTTGAGATCAGAGAGCCAGCATGGTCAGGTTCTGGTGAATCTGGTGAGGCCTCTTCGTGGCTTGCAGATGACTGCCTTCTTGCTGTGTCCTTGCATGGCAAAGAGAGAGTGAGCGAGCCCTCTGTTATCTCTTATAAGGAAACTAATACTGTTGGATCAGAACCCTATTTACACCTTCCCCCTACCCCAGGATGTCATTTAACCTTAATAACCTCCATAAAGGCCCTATGTCCTAACACAGTCACATTGGAAGTTGAGACGTTAGCATGTGAATTGGGGGAGGGGGCAAATGAGTTCATAGCAGATACCTAGATCATTGTTTGTTAGACTTTCTTCACTTCTTATTTCAAGTCACTTAAAGTCACGAACTTCCTACCAAAAACAGTATTAATTTTATCTCACAAATTTTCCTGTGTTGTATATTACTTATTTTTTAGTTAAAAATATTTTCTAAATTTCATTGTGACTTATTTTTATATTTTGGCTTCATGGTTACTTAGGTTATCACTTTTCAGAAGTATTTTCTAGTTTTGTTTGTTTATTTCTAACTTAATCCCACTGTGACTAGAGAACATACTCTGATTCAATTTTTTGGAATTTATTGAAATTGACTTTGTAGGCCAGCATGTGGTCAGTTTTTGTAAATATTTTATGTGTATTTTTAAAAAATATGTATTCTGTAGTTGTTGGTTACAGTATTCTATGTGTTACCAGGTCCAAGCTCGCTCTGCTCACCACATGACAGGCCAGTAAATTAGGAGGTGTTTATAAATTTATTTATTTATTTATTTATTTATGGCTGTGTTGGGTCTTCGTTTCTGTGCGGGGACTTTCTCTAGTTGCGGTGAGCGGGGGCCACTCTTCATTGTGGTGCGCGGGCCTCTCACTGTCGCGGCCTCTCTTGTTGCGGAGCACAGGCTCTAGACGCGCAGGCTCAGTAGCTGTAGCGCACGGGCTTAGTTGCTCCGCGGCATGTGGGATCTTCCCAGACCAGGGCTCGAACCCGTGTCGCCTGCATTGGCAGGCAGATTCTCAACCACTGCACCACCAGGGAAGCCCTGGGAGGTGTTTAGGCAAGGAATAACGACTTTATTCAGAAAGCCAGCAGACTGAGAAGATGGCGGACTAGTGGCCCAAAAAACCATCTTGTTGGGATCTGGATGCCAGTTTCTTTTATAGAACAGAGAGGGGAAGGAGGTTAGGAACTAAAATAAAAAGCCCATTTATCTTGCAAAACATCTCCTCACAGTGGCCTGCATTGGGGAGGGAATGTGTTAGTTTCTTCTTTTCTGCAGCCATTCACAGGTGGGCAGGGTCAGATTGTCTCCCTGTGAGCTGAACAAAGGTACTTTAGTTTAAGGTTCAGGCAGAGAGGCAGGGTTCCCTGAGGCAGGCCATTATGTATGATTATAATAACGAAAGCAACAAAAAGCAAAGGTTAAAGTCAAAGAAAGAGATCCAACATGGAGTCAAAATTGGCTGTTCCCTGTTACATATGTATGTTGATTGATTCAAGTTTTGTTGAATTTAAATCTATCTCATTAAAATTTTTGTTTGCTTGTTCTGTTACTTGGAGAGTGGTGTTTAAAATCATGGATTTACGCATTCCTTTTTTGGTTTTGTTAATTTGGGCTCTTATATTTTGAAACTATGTGATTAGGTAGATACAAATTTAGAATTGTTATGTCTTTTTGTTAAATTGATTCTTTTATCAGTATGTAATATTACAGTGCCCACCACAGTATCTTTTTAGGCTTAAACATTCAGACTTACAAAACTATCATAGGCCACAGTTTACAACTGCCTGCTTGGGTGGATACAGGCCAGGAAACACAGCATACCAGCAGGCAGCATCAGACAAGTTTAGGAGGTATTCTCTTTGGTCACTTCAAACAACAGCTTTGATGTGAGGGAAAACAAAGCTCACTGGGTGTGTTATGAGCCCCCTTGACCTAGAAGCCCTACCCCACAGTAGCAGATATCTCTTATAACAACCCATGAGCATAGCTTGTAGGTTTTCTGCAAGGGACACAAAAAGATCATCACATTAACAGAAGCCTAAAGCTTTAGCTTCCTACTATATTACAGCATTCATTCTTGACTTATTAAAACCTGCTGTAAATGAGTACTTGTACCACTTTCCCAGTAATGTAAGGAATTTAGAACTCTTTAACTCCATTTACTCCTTCCGTCTTATGTAATATTGTTGTGTGATTTATTTCTAAATAGGTTAACTCCCATAAGAAGTATTATTACTGCTTTCTACAATTAGTATTCCATTTAAATTAACCCACATATTTCTCCTTTTGCCACTTTTCATTTCTGCCTGCATCTCCATACTTCTGTTTGGGTTCATTTTTCTTCTCTTTACTATTTTTTTAGTGTGAGTTGTTGACTAAAAAATTATTCACAACCTAAAAGTTGAGAGTTATGTTTTATTGGGTGGGAACTTTTAGGACTTCAAGCCCTGGAGGCAGCATCTCGAGTAACCCTGAGAGAACAGCTCCGAGGAGGCAATGGGGGAAGCCAGGTTATATAGAAGTTTTACAACAAAGGGCAGGTAGTCAGGAACATCAAAAGATTATTGTTAATTAAAGAAAACCAGATATCCCAAGTTAAGGAACTTAGCACTTTTCTGTGTATAGGAAGATGCAAGAGTCTGGGCTCACTGAAATCATTCCTTTAATATGCACCTCAGCTATCTCAGGCCAGTATCCTGAGTTTTCACATCCTGAGTTTCCTCAGGGCTCACCATGGGGAGTGGCTGCAGTCTGATGGCTGCTAGATGGCAGGTATTCTTCGTGAGTTTCCTCAGGGCTCACCAGCTCACCATAGGCTGTGGCTGCAATAGCTGATGACTGTAACATCCTTGTTTACTGATATGGCAGCCAGTATTCCATTTATCAGAGTCTACAGCTGATTAGTTTTCTATCAGTTTCATTCTGGACATGTCTTTATTTTGCCCTGTTTTTAGTGGAGTATTTCTGCTGGATATCAAATTTCAGGGTTGGCACCTCTTTTTTTCTCTTTATCTTTGGAATTCACCATTACATAAATGTTAGACTTTTCATCATGTCTCATGACTTTTATGTGTTGTTCTGTATTGTTTCATCTTTTTCTCTCCTTCCTTCAGTATGGATATTTTCTTCTGACCTATTTTTCACTATACTTCTCTCACTGTATCTAATCTGCTCTTAAAATCATCCATGGAGTTCTTAATTTTAGTTATTGAAATGATGAGTTCTAAGACTTCTATTGTAGAAGTTTTTGTTCCAAAATTCTCTGTCTTGTTACATAATTTCTTGAATGTTTTGATCATAACTACTTTGAAGCCTATCTGACAATTTCAATATCTAGATTTCATATGGATATTTTAAAATTTTCTTTTTTTTCTTGTTTTTCACTCAAATCCATACTTTATGCATGTTTGTTTTTGCCTGTGTGCTGGACATAGTATATGAAAAATTTTAAAGGTAATTTGAGGCTCCATATGATGTTACCTTTCTCTTAAGAACATGTGATTTTACCTTTGTAAGGTAGCTAGTCTAGGGGGAGAGTACCTTAATGGGGATTGAAATTATTTGAACCTGGTCTTCAGTCCTTGTGAGGACTTGTGTATTTCCAGTTTACCCTGGCACCTAAAGTATCGCCCTTTGGGGACTCAACTAAAAGCCTAAGCTGTTGACCATTCTTTTTGGTATGCCCTGCACTCCAGTTTTGGTCCTTCCAAACATGAGACTCCCAATTTTAATGTTTTTCTTAAGCTCTCGGTGTTTGCTTCTACTTTTAGAACTGGCACTTGTGAACTCTGAATATAAAGTTCACTTTTATTGGCTTTCTTTCTCTCTCAGATCTTGGCCCCATTCTCACTACCTTGGTAACTTTTCTGTCTTTTCAAACACATATTTTTCCTTTTTAGATTTTGTCCAGCTTTTGCTGTTAGGAAGAGTGTTGGTCCAAGACCACCTAGTCATCAGTTGCCAGAGCAGAAACCCCTGGTATCTTTTTAAAATTAAGCTTGTTAGCATAGGGGAGTGTAATGGCATTTTGTGTGTTGATTTTTTTTATCCAGAAAATTCACTGAATTCTCTTATTAATATTGATTATTTGTTTTTTATTTTTCCATATGGACAATCATGACACTTAGAAATAATAAGAGTTTTGTTTTCTCCTTTTCAATCCTTTCATCTTTAATATCTTTTTGCCTTACTGGACTGGCTAGCATCTCTATATACTGTTTAATAAAACTGATATTAACACATGTCTTTGCCTTATTTCTGGTCTCAAGTTATATAACTTCAATATTTACCTTTAAGTGGGATCTTTGCCAAAGTATGGTGTGTGTTTGTTTGGGGGATTTGATAAGAGGTTAAAGAACTTCTCCTCTAGTCTTCGTTTGCCAAAAATTTTTATTATGCCTGGGTATTGAATTTTGTAAAATGTTTTCTCCCACATAAGTGCTATTTTATTTACATAACATTCCTTTCTTACTTCAGACACTCATCTTGGATCACTTTCCTTTTGCCAGTGTTTAATTCCTCCTCTAGAACTTCCTTGAGTGAGTCTCTGTTGATGATGATATTTATTAGTTTTCATTTGTCTTTAGGCATCTTTGTTTCCTATACTTTTCTTCACTGAAGGATATTTTTGCTGAGTAAGGAATTCTGGGTTCTGAATTGTTTTCTCTTAGCGTATTGATGGTATTTTTCCATTGTCTTTTCAGTGTTGCTCTTGTGGAGTCCAGTGTTCTTTGAATGTATTTGAGAGGGCTGCCCATAATTGGCCTAACTTTATTTTTTAAATTCATGATGATTAGATTTATTCAGGAAAAAAGACTTCATTTTATTATAAAAAATAAAAATAATCAAATATTTGACCTGTTGATTCGTACTTTTGCGTATTTATAGCATAATATTTATATCGAAATGGTAGATCAAGTTTATAAAGGTAAATCTGTAATCCAGTGTAACATATTAGAAAAACTTCAGAATTATTTGGAAATTATTTATATCTTAATGTAGTTTTAGTACTATGTATTTTATTTTAGAAAGTGTTATAAGTAACATGACTGTGGTAACAGCTCATTTTTAATTTTAGTGGATTATAACATGAATGTGTACTATATATTATAATTTCCTGTTAATCAGAGTGTTCACTTAACTAGAAATTCATTGCTGACAGTTAATTATTAGAAGTTACTTATTGAAACTGAAGACCCTGATATCAGCACAATACTTATATATAAAGGCTTCCTGCAGAATTAACCCTGTAGTAAGTATTTGTGCTTTGTAGAGCATGCAACTGAGGTGTCAGATATTCTTTATCTTATTTAGTTCAGCTCTACAAGGAAATATGAATTTCTGACTGAACAACTTTTAATGCGTAACACATTGATTAGGCTTACAATAAATCAGAGAAAATAAATTTTTGTGTTATTGATTAGCCTAGAAAGGAAGACTATTTAATTAGATTTTACTATGGTATTAAAAGAACAGTTGACCTGTCTTCCTGACTTCATAATGATTATGGCAGAAGCTGTCATCAACTGATTTTAATTATGTAAATTGCCAAATGTTATACAATTACTAATTTATTTTGTTCAACCCTGGGAACGAGGTGCCATTACTATTCTCATTTTTCAAATGTGGAATCTAGCTTTCTTGTTGGATGTGACCAAACTCTAATTTTTTATTTTTTTGATGATTTTGTTTCAGGATATGATGACACCTATAAATCTGGGGGAAAAGACCATTTATTTAGTTTCATTCTTTGAAGGCTTACAACGCATTATTTTATTCACTGAAGATCCAAGGGTATTTAAAGTGACATATGAAAGTGAGAAAGCAGAGTTAGCAGAGCAAGAAATTGTGTTGGCATTACAAGATGTTGGAATTTCTCTTGTCAACAATTATACAAAGCAAGAAGTAGCCTATATTGGCATTACAAGGTTAGATGCGTTAAAATTTGGATACATTTAAGTGATCAGTTCTTAATCATGAAGAGTGGTGATTGTAAAATCTAAAATGAGTTAGTTTAAATTTTCTGTTTTGACTCTTCATTGATAATAATCTGAGATAATGCTAATTTAAAAGTGCTTTGATGCTTTTTTTTTGCCTTTTGAGATAAAGACATACCAAAAATCAAATTTATCTCATCATGTTGTTGATTTTCCCAGCTCTCTAAAAATTAGATTTATTCAACTTATCAAAGGTATATTTTCTTTCTTTAATATGTCATAAGGAAATGTTTAACTGTTCATTACTACCTACCACAGTGCAGGGGTACACCGCAAATCTAATCTTTTTCTACGAGTTTGTTTGTTTGTTTTTGAAGTACATTTGATCTGCAATACTATGTTAGTTCCTGGTACATAACATAGTGATTCAGTATTTCTGTTCATTACAGTGATCACAATAAGTCTAGTTACCATGTGTCACCATACAAAGATTATATTATTATTGACTATATTCCCCACACTGTACATTTCACTTTCTAATCACTTTCTACTTTGACCTAGGCACTTTAAGATCTAATAAGATAATACTGTATTTACCATTTCCCACATAAGTCATCACCAGAAAACTCTTTTCTTTCCCTTTTGCACTTAATATTCCTGTTTATAAACACTTAAAATTAATTTATGTATATTACTGCCAAATTTGAGAGCGTTTCTATATTGCAGTCTGTATAACAAGGATAATGTAGTTTTAATCCTTTACTTGAGTTAAACTCTCAAATAAATATATAAATTAAAGGTATATGATACAGATTTGACTTTGTTTTTCTATGTAAATATATCTAGATATGCCCCTGACTTCTCCTTGAATGCTATCCGTGCCATTTAAAAAGTCATATTAAAGGGAATTCCCTGGCAGTCCAGTGGTTAGGACTCTGTACTTCCTCTGCAGGGGGCACGGGTTCGATCCCTGGTCAGGGAACTAAGATCCTGCATGCCACTCGGTGCGGCCAAATAAATAAATAAATAAAAAGGCATATTAAAACTATTTTCTTAGAAATTTTTTTTGTTCTCAAAAAAGTATGTTTATTACTTAAATTAAAATGTCACATAGATAACAGATTTTAAGCCTGTGAAACCTGATATGTGCTATCTCCTATGCTAAATGATGTGAATGCAAAGGGAATTAATACATGGTTTCTACCTTTCTGTTTATTAAGTGAATATAAATTTTAGAAGGAACAAACAAATAGAATAAATAAAATTAAATAACTTACATACTTCAGTAAGCAAAACAAGTGAAGTAATTTTAGAATGTGGAAAGATTTTTAAATTCTGCATTTAAGTCTTATAGCAATTTTTTAGTAAATTAGATTTGTTCCATTCACTCTCTCTCCTAGATTACTGTTTCACACTTTATCTCTTTTTAAACCTCCATTCTCTCTCAGCTCACTGCCTTGCATCTTACTTCACCGAGTAAACTGACACAATCAAAAGGGAACGTCCAAAGACCCACTCCCAATATCTCAGCTTCCTACGCACCAATATTTTTTACCTACATATTGCAGTGACACATTTCCTAGTTATCATAGATACATTGTATGTGCTCCTATTTAAACATATGTTTCTACTTTTGTACTATATTTCATTCACTCTTGCCTCTTGAGACATTGATCCAGCAATTCTCTTCTTCTTTTCTCCTCCCTCAATAATTTTTGGCTCTCTATTGAATTGTTCCAACCAGTGTAATTTCTTTCAACTAAAAAACATTCTCTTGAACCCACTTTTCCTGCTACCTACTGCACATTTCTTTGCTTTACTTTATAGCCAAACCCCTTAGAAGTGTTAATCTATTACAGAAGATATATTCACTATCTCCAATTCTTTTTTTACCCATTTTTCTTTTACCCATACCAAACAGGTTTTTGCTTTCAATATACCATGAAACTGGTCTTGGTAAGATCACCAGAGACCTAAGTATTGCCAGGTCAGGTGTACAATTACCAGTCTTTGTATTGATTATGTTTATAACATTTAACACAGATCCCTTCTTGATGCAGTGTCCTTGATGTTACATCCAGGATATCTCACCACCTTGGTTTTTCTTTCTGTTCCAACATTTCTCATTCTCACTTGTTGCTTGCTTGTCTTTTTCTCAACTGCTTAATATTGGGTACCTTGAGGCTCTCAGACCTTAGTCCTCTTCTCTGTTTCAGTTTTGATTTCAAATACCATATATATGCCAAAAACTTCTAAAAATATATCTTCAGCCAGATTTTTGTCCTGAACTCCAGACTTAACTATCCAACAGCTTACATAAAATCTTTACTCAGGTATCTAAGCGACTTCTTAAGCTTTGTAGTATGTAAAACCAAACTCCTGATCTCCTTCTACCAAAACGTGCTTTCCCACTGGAGTTAACGACAACTACATTCTTCCAGCTGCTCAGGCCAAAAACTTTGGAATCATCTTTGATTCCTCTCTTTATCTTACACCCCACATCTAATCCATCTAAAAGTAGTGTTTTGGATCTAGCTTCAAAACACACGTAGAATCTGACCACTTTGTACTGCCTCACTCTTAGACCACCGCAGGCAGAGCCATCACCGTTTTTCTCCTGGCTTACTACATTACATTCCTAACAAGTTTTCCTGTTCTAGTCTTCATCCCTTTTTTTTCTTTCTTCCCATTCCAACACATAGTACATTCTTAAACCTTAAGTCAGACTATGTGGCTGATTATCTTCTCATAATCTTTCAATGGGTCCTCATCTCAGAATAAAACTCGGAGTCTTTACAGTATCCTCAAGGCTTTACGTTATTTTGCCTCTCATTATCTGTCTTACTTCATCTTCTACTCTTAATGTGTTCCAGGCATGCCAGCCTCCTTGCTCTTCTACCTGGACGACTACAGGCATGCTCTGCTTGGAGTCTTTGCTCTAGCTTGTCTCTCTACCTGAAATGTTGTTCTTCTCTTCTGTGCTGGATAACTCCCTCATCTTCTTTAAGACTGTTGAAATCTCGCCTTCTTAATGACACCTCTGGTGGCCACTCTTTTCTGATGCTGCAACCCCTGCCACTTGCATATCCCAGTACTCCACATCTAATTTACCCTGTCTACTTTTTCTTCTTTCAAAAGCATTTTCACCTCCTAATATATTAAAAGATGCTAATTTACTATTTATTGTCTATCACTCCTCAGGTAAAAGAAAGCTCCAAAATGGCAGAAATGTTCACTGATAATCTCCCTGCCACCTAGAATAGTGCCTAAATAGGAGTTTAATAAGTACTGGTTGCATGAATTCATGTTTTTAAACTTGTAATGTGCTTGCTTACAACTAGGGATATTGCAAAAATTTACTGAAGGTTTTTCAGTAATGGTAATTCATGTAATAAACCAGATAAAATGAAAATGTTTATAAATTAGTACCATGATTTTTGCTTTCATATATAAGTTCTGATGTGGTTTGGGAGACAAAACCCAAGAAGAAGGCAAGATGGAAGCCAATGAGTGTAAAGCACACTGAGAAGTTAGAGAAAGAATTTAAGGAATATACTGAATCTTCACCATCAGAAGATAAGGTTATTGAGTTGGACACTAACATTCCGGTAATATTTTTAAGTACTGATATGAAGTTTTCATTTTTATCTGTTGTAATTAGATGAATCACAAGTTAGATTTTAAGGAGAGACTGGTTTGCTTACAAAACAATGAATCCTATTATACATACTTTATATAGAATATTTTAAAGGGATAGTTCTCTGTATCAAGATTCAGACTTTCTTAAGCCGCTAATGATCTACTCCTTGGTTAACAAGAAGGCAATAAGTTGTTTTTTTTTTATTTTTAAAACTGTTTTTTCTTTTATCGCTTTATTTTTTTCATAAATTTTAGTAAAGTTATATAAAAAGTGATAAAACCAAGTTATAAGGATTATATGAATATTTTTGTGAATTGTATGGATATGGAGTATAAAGATCTCAGTCAAAATCTCATCAAATATTTAGCCTGCTATTTAATATTATCTTTAAAGTTTTTTGATACAGATTTCTAATTTTAATCAATAAATAAAGAGAAATTCCACGTGTTTGTGTGTGTGTGTGTGTGTGTGGGCATATTTTTCAGGTTCACTTCACACCTAGTGGTACTAACATGAAAATTCTGCAGCCACATGTAATAGCTATAAGAAGAAATTACCTTCCAGCATTAAAAGTAGAATATAGCACATCTGCACATCAATCATCATTTAGAATTCAAATTTACAGAATACAGGTGAGTTTGAAAAGATAGTCAAATTATATTCTAAAGGAATATGGCAATAAATGTATTCACATAGTCTGTTTTGTCTAGTACTTAAGTTTCATTGTTGGACTAGAGTTTTTGATTCCTTGTACTTTTTAAATTTTGTTATTCCAGTCAGGTTCTATAATTAACATATTAATATACTACCTGTTTTTTGTTTTCTTAGATCCAAAACCAGATACATGGTGCTATATTTCCATTTGTGTTTTACCCCATTAAACCTCCGAAGTCGGTCACCATGGATTCAGGTTTGTTTGTATTTTTACATTGCCGTAAAAATGGTTGTATTATCTATTTGGTTTCTTCTACTATAAAAATATGAAGTGAAACCATTCTCAAGTTTAGTGTCTATAGGATCATTGAAAAATTAAACAGCTTGAAAAAAAACCAGGAAGTACTCAACTAACTTCAATAAAACTGAGTGAATACTGAAAAAAAGATTATTTAGAAATATATATATAATATTTAGAGATATTAATTTTTTTAAAAGATTACTAATTTGTAAACCCCTAATTTAGAAGCCACTAGAACCTTTGAATAAAAAGATAAGACCCTGAATCTGTTTTCACAAAGACTTCCTAATGATTCTAATGCATACTTCTGGTTTAAAATCACTAATTTAAAGGATCAGTTAACCTTAGAGTGAATACAGGTAGTTAAAAAAACAATCCGGGAGTCTGAAATTAAGGTTGTGATAGATCTTACAGATATCAGTAATTTTAATTGATACTCATGATTTAGTAAATAATTTAGTTGTCCACTGTGACGTGTATTAAATTGCAAGAAAATTCTTATCTTTTGTTTAAAGCATCATTAATCATATTTATTAATCTTTACAGCACCAAAGCCCTTTACAGATGTCAGTATTGTCATGAGATCTGCAGGACATTCACAGATATCACGTATTAAGTAAGCATCTTAGTACATTTATTGTGTGTGCATTTAATGTTTTAATTTAAATATGAGTTAATTGTACTCTTAAATAAATTTCAGATGAGTCAAAGATTTAAGTGTAAAATATTAAATTATAAAGGTCATAGGAAAAATCAATTATTTCATAATCTTGGAGAGTCAGAAAGCTCCAAATGAATTATACCTAGGTATTAACAGTAGTCATTTCTGAATTGTGTGTATTTTGTTATTTTCTTTTTTATTTGTTTTCTCTATTAAGTTGTCTATAATTACTGCATACTGTTTTAGAAACAAGAAAATAATATTTTCAATTCAGTCACCACCCAGTTCAAAAAATAGAACACTGACAGAAACATCCATCTATGTATCACTACCATATTTCTTGTTTCCTCCACCCTATCACCAAGATAAATACTATTTTTATTCCCTTTTTAAAATACTGATTTATTGTTTATGTGTACCTAAACATTATGCTTCTTACTTTGCCACAATTTTTTGTAATTGAAAAAAATTTTTTTAACTGTAAATATATTCCTGGGACTTGCTTTTTCCACTCAGATTTTTACTACAATTTATTTTGTTGTATGTAGCTAGAGTTTATTTATTATCACTAGCATGTAGTATTCTCTTGTGTGACTATATACCACAGTTTACTTACCGATTTCCTCTTTGTAGGCATTTTCATATTATGAGTTTGTTGCCATTATGAACAGTGTTGCCGTGACATTTTTTAATTCATTCACCTAAAAAGTCCTAAGTTTCAATGTTTTAATATTTATCTAATATTTTTTCCTATATAATTTTGTTAATGCAGTTAATCAATGATTTTTAAATGTTTTTCACCTTGTATTATAGGTATTTCAAAGTGTTGATCCAAGAAATGGATCTCAGGTTGGATCTTGGGTTTGTCTATGCTATATCAGAACTTATGACAGCAGCTGAAGTAACTGAAAAAACTGAGGTAAGACTTATAATAATATGATGGGAAGAATTAGGGAAAGGGGAGGACTTAAAAAAATTATACATTCTTAAATGTATTAAAATGGTTTTAAAAATTAAATTTTTTTTATTATGCTGCCGTGGCTCTACATTGGCAGATATCACATTTTCAGATTATAGAAGTTGGAAGCAAGACAAATAACCTTTTTTTTTTTTTTTTTTTTTTTTTTTGGTGA